GTGATCTTAAACATTCAATTTAAAAAAAAAAAGATATATTATAATTCAATTTCAATTTCAATCCCTGTGCGAATGAAGTCGATTTTTATATCGTTTTCTGATTTGTTTATTTGCAAAACAGTTCCAAAAAAATCGATTATTGTGTCAATTTTACGGCAATTGAAATTTTACGGCTTCATTTGTTGTATTATATTTTCTGCGATTATATTTTTAAAATTGTTTGATAATTATGAGTGAACTGCAGTTTTTTTTTACATATTTGCAGGCATAATATGAAAAGATATGCCAACGATATTCAACAATATAAAATTGTAAAATGATATTCTCGAAAATATGAATTCACACAAAGTTTCATCAATGAATATATTGCACATTATAAATATATGTCAGACTCATATGTACACATACACAAACACATCTAAACTCCAAACATTATTACACAAAGAAGTCGATTTACACAGCATTTTTTTAAGAAACCGTAATCTGCGCCGACATATTTCTTCGTTCATGAACAATTCCACGCATTCACCGGTTTATTTATTAGGCTTGTACATCTCTCGCGCAACATTGCGAAGGAAAACGTTATCTACGAAGCGTTAGCGAAACCACTTTTCCACGTTCCGCGAAATGTGGGACAACTAAGAAACGTTTCGTCGCCGGTAAAATTTCAAATGCGAAACGAAAGCGTTTCTTCGCCGTTGCGTGGTTATCGGTGAATATTTCAGTGTATCGCTTTCACCGTAAAATCACCCGTACGGCCGTACGTATCGACCGAGATTTTCACAACGGTCACGCGGCGTACTTTCACGCGGCACTTCGTCTATTTTTCTCTGCACTCTTTCAAATATGCGTCATTTCTCTTTCACAAAAACGCCACGTATCGCTGCTCGCGAACGCGTGTTGTATACGTATGTGTATATATGTTTCACGTGTATGTGTGTATACGTCTCAAGCGAGGCCGATAATGTCAAGCATGATTAGTTTCTTACACGGAATACCCGTTGGGAAAGTGTGTCAAGACGTCCGCGAGTTTCTCGACTCGCGTGGCTTATAAAATTATGATAAATTTCGTAGCAGGAAGTACATTTATGACGAACCGAGAAAGCTTTCCTTGCAAGTTCGCACGTCAACTGCACACACGTACACACGCACACGCACACACACACACACCCTCCACCCTCCACCCCTTAGAAAATTTATCGCGTTTCATTAGTCTTAATGCCGCGCGTGCATTTATTTCGCCCGAATTCCGTGCACATTTTGACAGACATAAAGCGAATTTCGGGAAAATGTACGACGCGATAAATTCCAATGCCGTGACAAAATTCTCGTCAACCGTCTCTGCACCGGGTGTCCAGAAATGTCGGAGCCAAACTTGCTACTCGTTAATGAGATCAGGTTCACGTATGATGGAAAAAGTTTGCGTGAAACTTGCCTGTGTAAGAAGATACTTTGTTATTTATATCGCCTGAAGGCGTTCAACGATTGTTGTCAATTGTTATGTCGGTTATAATTAAACCGCGGATTTCTACACAAATTGTAGAGTGCGAAATTGTATAGGATGCATATGATGTGATAAAAAGTTTCTACAATGTATTTTATATAGCATATGTTAACGTTTTTGTATAATATTCTATGTTTGCATATTTTTTGTGTATATTTATAATATTGCATTATATTATACTACATTATATTGTATTGTATTGTATTATATATTATAATATAGTATAATATATTATATATAAAGAATTTTGGTAGAAAGAAGAAATTTTATTGCAACGTTTATTGCAATTGGATCTTTATGCAGACTTGTATTTTTACATATATATATTTTATATATATATATATATATATATTACTCGTACTTTTACATATATTTTATATATATTTATATATATGTTATATATATATTACTCGTATTTTTTTATATATATATTTTTTTATATGTATATATATTATAATATATTAACATTCTATGAAACTATGAAAATACATGTCTGCATAAAGATCTAATTGCAATGAACATTGCAATAAAATTTCTTTCTTCTATCAAAATTCTTTCGGATTCTCCTACTCTACGGAAACTAATAGTAAATGTATTTTGCGAAAAATTCACATTCCCAAGAATTGGTTTTCCGTTTCTATCGCTTTTTGTCCCACTAACTAAAATACCGTCAAACGATAATCGTTCAATGAGAATTGTTAACTTTTTCACCAATTGTTACATCAAGTGGCAAAAACAATTCCGTTTTGTAAATCTTTTCTTTTTTTTTTAATAAAACATAAGTTTGCGAACGTGAGCTCATCTCTAAGCTTTTCATCACACTCTCTTGTACATTATTGCGCATAGAAATGAATTACAGTGGCACACGTACACACATCCGAAAAAACGATCTTTGGAAACGAATAGATCACGACGTGATCATTGTCGTTGCGTCGCAGACGCGAGATCCTCATCTAACTGTAAGAATTACCGATCCTGAGATGCAAACTACACGCCGATTATGCGACGTCGAGTGTCATCCACGTCGATTATCGATCGATGCTAATGAATATGATATAAATTTGCTTTGCATTCGCGATGCCGTTTATCGAGCGTTCGCATGCGAGGTGATTTTGCGTGGTGGCGCGGCAAAGTTCGCCTCGGTTCCCAAAGGAAATTAAGAAGATCATAGTTAGTTTCGCATTGATCTTTTATGAATTACAAATTTCTCGGATACGCCGGTGGGAATCGTGTTGATCGTACTTGGCCGGGAGAAGAATCCGACAAGTAGCCATTATCTCTTCAACTTTCTCGTTCCGTTCGTTGCTTTAATAATCATAATTTATTATTCATTGACTCGAATACGTTTCTCTATCGTCTGACGAATCGTAAACTTGCTTGCATATCTATTCGCTGATTATTATACCTTCCGTTATCTACCCAATTATTGTTATCTGTAAATCGTGTATGCGTCGTGATGCAGTTTCGATCGTTGAGATGAAATTGTTTATAAAAAATTTAAAAAAAAATGGAGATTTCTTTCCGCAGTAAACTAGAGAGCCATGAAAAAATTGGCTAAAGGCACGCACGTATTTATAAATATCTATTTGGTCAATATAGAACAGCAATAGCATAATTAATGACGAAACTAATCATCAGAGATACTCTCGCTTGTTTTTTGTGAAATTACAAGTCTAAATCATTTATGTAAAAAGCGGCAATAATATAATTCCATTATTTATCGTACAGTTGTTTAAATATTGCCGTTTACATTTAACTCTGAAAATTTGGAAGACTCGTCTCAGTCGGGCTCATCATTCGAGGCGTGTTGTCAAATAATGTTACAACGTTTGACAACAATTATAAATATTATATTGTAATAGAAATGCACAAACGATTTATAAATCAATTCAATTTGATTCATTTGATTATATATATATATATATATATATATATATATATATGATTCTTACAGAGAGTGAAATCATTACGGCTTACTTTGCCGATAATTTTAAAGTTAATTTTCTAAAAAATCGAGGGGGTGTCCGAGTGATTTTCGAGCGATGATGCGTGCACGCTATATATACGAAGTGCCCGACGAAAACGTAGCAGATGAAAACGCGTGGTAACGTGTTAATTTCATCGGCGGAGGTCTGTTGTTCGCTGACGTGGAATTTGGTGATCGCGCTTTCTAACGTCGGTGAACAGGCACACGATAAACACGAACCGAACGTCGCGTCTACTTCGCTCCAGATGAGACGTTCCAGGGAAGAGTAGGTGGGTCGTGTGCGAGGAGGGTTCAACTGAGCGAGGTAGCGTGCCGCAGGCGATTGATGACTTGTGACCCACTTTTAAACGCTTGTGGCCTAGATGCGAGGGTGCCGTAACCTGATCTAAGATATCAGGCTTCCCTCCACTCCTTCCTTCTCTACCGGCTGGCTCTTCCCTCATTTTCTATTCCTTTACTCTTTCTAGTCTCGTCGTCGCCGTCGTGCCATCTACTTTCACGGATGACGGTCTTGCAGAACTTGGGAGAGTTGAGACATAACTCTAGCGTCGTCCTCGCTTGATGTTCTCTCCTCCTTAGATTTCGCTTCGACGTGTTACGTCCTCCTCTTCCCTCCGGGTTTAGTTTCAAAGGGATTTAGCACCGATAAATCGTTTCGAATTCAAAGCGTCGTTTTTTACTAGTCGATAGACATCTAGCTGATACCGATCGATCTGTACGTGGATACTTTTTGACACGTTGAGCGCCGCGTGAATTTCAATAGCACGCCGAACGAAGCTTCTGTTTTCTGTAACCTTCTCGTTGTTTTTTTTTTCAAGACAGCGTGAAATTTCCTCGTGGCGCTCAATGTGTTGAATTACATAGGTCTCCGTTTCCTTTCTTCGAAGTTCTCGTTTCGTGTGAAAATATGATTGAAAGCAGAGGTTACAATGTTTTTCGTTTCCACGAGAAGAAAGCGATCGATCTTTGTAACCTCTGCGTTATCAGCAGAGGTTACAATGTTTCGTTTCCACGAGAGGAAAGCGATTGATCTTTGATATTCGTCAATTCACCTCGTCAGAGTGCAGCATCGCCGTTGCTGTATTGTCTGTCATAATGAAACTCGTATCGGTCACGAGTATCGACCGGACGAAAATTCGTCTCCGGTGGTCGATGCCGGCCGAAAAGTTTTCCACCGACTAACGCCCAGCCACGGCGCAACATCACCTCTTCCTTACTCAGCTTTCTCCGATACCTTGCTAAATTGTGACAGGCTCGTCCACCGGAAGGAACAATGTTATGTGTATATAAGCGGTGTATACGCGCATGGTAAAGTTTCGTTGAGCGATGTGGAGAGGTACATTGTAAAGAAAGGAGATGGTGGGGGTACGTCTGTCGGCGGCGAGTGCGGCGACGGTAGTGGGGAAACAGCGGTTCAGTGGTGGTGGGGGAAGCAATGGCTCAGTGGTGGGGATCACTGGTTCAAGTGGTGGGGGGATTTCCACGTCGCAGAGCGATTCGAAAGAGACGGTGTAGCGCGTTCGGCGGTGCCGCAGCTTCAGTGTCGTTTCAGCCGCGGTCTCGTACGGTTGTTCGGCCAGCAGCTGCGTTTCGCTCTGCGCAACCTTCGCCGTTCCTCTATTAATTGGTTGTGTCCGTCGTCTGAAACGTGACCGTTTATACACTACGCGTTCCTCCCTTCTTTCTCTGACGAAGCAACGAAGTTTACCCAATCCCTGAGCTCGGATCGATCGTCGAAGTGTTACGGTTTTGTTTTGTGGTATATCGTTGGTAGAAGGAGAGGTTCACGATGACAATGGGCTAAACCGGCGATACGGTACCGAGCGTATCGGGAACGTTGTATCTGGATTTGGGTCAATGGAATAACGTGTTGGTGCGACGTGTCCTTTTTCACGTATTGGAATACCGTGAGGTGTAACGAGTCTCCCGACTCTAGTCGGAGAAAGAGTATTACAACGGTGTCGTCGTTGTGATACAAGTGATATCGTTCGCGGGTTTTGTAAGAATGAGCCCGGCCTCCCAGGGCGGCGTAGAGGTGGAGCGTTACATCGGCCCTTGTCTGATATCGTCGACCATCAGGCCGGGATCGCACAAGCCAATCGTCGGTAGGAAACAGGAACCGGTGATCCGCGGGAAAACGCGAGGCTGCTACGGGACTGCGAGTTTCCCGAGTGGAACGGAACAATGTCAGGTGCAATACGGACCTGGCGGTTGGACAGGCGCCCCTTTGATATCCATGACGTCCAGTCCACGCAGATGTACGCAGAGATCGTCTCCGTCGCTCGGTCAACAACAACAACAGCAGCAGCAGCAGCAACAACAATCATCGTCGCAGCAGCCACCGCAACAACAGCAGACTTGCGATCAGCAATCGTCGGTTCACCTACACAAGAATCCGCTCTCTAGATTGGCTATTCACACGCAAGGAGCGCCGTTGATTCTAGCCAATCGGTTTCACAATCGCGGCAAGACGCACAACAGCGGAAACGCTAATGGCGTTGCTAACGCGGTCTGCAGCAGTACGGGCGCGGTTAATAGTTACGTTGCGAACGGCCTGACTGCCGTGGCGTCGAACTGCGCGATGAACAACACCACCACGATCAGGTGTCCATCGTCGCGGCCCCAGAGGCCGATCGAACTCGCGAAGAAGCAACAGCAGCAGCAGCAAGCCAACTCGAAGTCGTCGGATTGCTCGACGACCAAGGAATCGGCGAGCACGGGGAACAACATCGCGAACATCGACTCGCTGAGTATCGCGAGCGACGAAAGTTCAGGGTCGAACAATTCCGAGAACAGTCTGCCGCGCATCATCAAGCCTCGGAAGCGTCGAAAGAAGGACAGGAAACCGCCGAACAACGCGACGACGGTGGCATCCGCCGAGGTGGCGAAACACGAGGAGCAGCAGCAACAGTCGAGCACCTCGGGTGTTGTTAACGAACAATCGAACGCGGCGTGTTCTTTAAAACCCACGGCCTGTTACGAGCAACAACGTTACGAAGTCGCGCCACCGCTGCCGCCGCCTCACCTTCGAAACCATAGAAGGCCACCCATAGCGAGGGAAAGGACAACAACGGGCATGTCGGTGCAAGAGATACCTGACGCGAGGCATAGGTATCCGCATCGGCACGTGGAAGTGAAAGTGTTGGACGACAACAGGAACGTCGTGGTACCGGTGCAAATGCGCGCCATACTGCCAAAGGGTTACAGACACAACGGCCATCACCATCACCATCACCATCATCACAACCATCATCATCACGTCGGTGGCAGTAACGTTCTGCGCTACCTGCACGAGTACAACGACTCGTCGTCGACGACGACAACGACGACGACGACGACGACGACGACGACGACAGGCTGCGAGGACGGGATCAACAACGATGAATTAGGACCGTGTCAGTGTCGGTACTGTGATCCCGCGGCTCTCATATGGGACGTGGATCAAAACTGTTACTCGCCCTTTTTGACCCCGTCGCCGTCCACCGAGTTTTGCCCTACCCATTTCACGCAGATGCCGCTATTCTTGTCGTCCCGGCCGAGTCTCGGTTGTCAGGAGCAAAGTATCGAGAGGCTTTTCAACGGCGACAATCATCCACGAGCCCATCGGGAGAAAGACGTGGTCACCGGGACTAGTAGCAGCACCAGCTCTTCCACCGGTGTGGTGCTGAGGCGCAGCTGGAGCGATCCCACCAGTTACTTCAGCGAGGAGATCGGCACACCTAGCAAAGACGTCGGCGTGATCGGTGACAGAGGACAGATGGAGAGCGGGAAACGACGAACGCTCTGGCACGGTGACTCGATCGGTATTCCTCCGAGTGGTAGTAACGTCGGAGGATCCGGCGGTGTGGACGCGAACGGTGGTGGTGGTGGTGGTGGTGGTGGTGCACAATCGCCGAAAGAGTTGGAGGTCTCGACGGAGATAATCACGTCGCCGAACGGTCACCGAGACCTCGAGATCAAATTTTACTCGCCCTCGCCGAACGCGCCGATGCCCGAGGAGGAGAAGTGCGTGTTCACGGAGGAGGCGGACGAGGACGAGGAAGATTTCAACGACATTTGGAGCTACCACGAGTCCAAGTTGCAACAGGATTTCCGCACGTTGCTGCAAGCGGAGGAATGAACGCGGAACCGAGCATTCTCTTTCGATGTGTGGTCTGCTGGTCTGACTCGTTTACGGTGGAAAGAGAGAACTGACTCGCATCACAGTCCGTGCCCCGCGTGGGGGGGCAAGGGAAATCAGCAGCGTGAAAATAACGCGTCGATTTTGAACGAGAGAAAAAGAAGAGAAAAAGAAAGCGAGAGAGAGAGAGAGAGAGAGAGAGAGGAGGGAAAGGGTGGTAGTTCTGGAGATTCAATTAGCTCGTCGATAGAGGGAACAAAACCGGGGAAACGGACTTGCGTAGACGCGTGCGCGAGACCGAGGAGGAAAAACCGCACGCGTTTCGAAAAATCTTCGCTCCGATGTGAGACCGTAGTTGTGTATTATCGTACCTCCTCGCTCCTCGACCTTGTCCCCGCTGATGACGCCCTCAACGTTGTCAACAGTCCTCGGTGAAACGATTAACGAGTGGTAACTGACGGTAACGAGCGCAGAGCTACATAAACGTGTCGAACGATTCTTCTTCCTAACGGTGTACGTTGTATACACGTAGTATACGTGACGTGCGTGCACTTCGTACGAAGCACGCACCGAGAGTAGGTCTGAAGGTGTATCTTGATGACGGGAGGGGGAGGGGGGCGGAGGGGGAAGGATACACGCGGTTTGTTTATCGATGACAACATATACTACTAATAAACGGTGGTTGGCTCGCGTCTGAGAACGATAAGGCCCCCCTCCGATCTCTGCGCTTGACTTTCAGACCTCTTTCTCTGTGTCTCTTCTTTTCTTTCTCTCTCCACTCTCTTTTTTCACCGTTGAAGCTCCACTGCTCTCTCACGTCGGCGTCGTTTACAATCTCTCAACCGTCGTCCAAAACCATTTGCAACGAGACACCGCCATTTGTTTCCCCCCCGTCGCCCTGCGGCCAGCCATCGTCGAGCAGAGACAAATAAAGACGCGACTGTTCAAATCCTAGTAATTATATACCGACGGAACGATGAATCGTTCGCTCGTGGGAAGGGGGAGGATAGCGGTCAAGAAAGTTCGTATTTCCATAATTCCCTGTTTTCTAATCACACGATGCTCGGACGATCTTCCTCGAACTGTAACGTTGGGTCTCTCGTTACTTTGCGAATCGTTGCTCCCTCCTTGTCGGAAGGATTATCGTCGTTATCTTTTATCTCGTCTCTCGTACGGAGAGACTCGCCTTAAATCCTCGAAAGCTGCCCGACAAATTGCCCCGGCCTAACGTCCCGGCGCTTTAGATACGCTCTCGAAATTCCTCTGCGTAGTTCAACTGTGTTTCGAAATCGGTGAGCCGCCACGTTTACGTAAAACCTTTTGCGAAACGCCGGTTTGTGTTGACTCTGTATTGAATTACTTCGATCATTCCTCGAATGGTTTCTTGCGGTGCGGCGTTGGCTGGCAGCGCTCTAGCGGCTGGCAAACATCCCGCGTGTGATTCCTCCTTTGTTCGTGCAATTAAGTTCATGATAAACACGCGTCCACGGTGGCTGGGATGGTTAACAATTTGTTTCGAGGCCCTTTGCGCGATTCGCGTAAGCATTCCTCTCCTGACCGCACGTAGTAACAGTAGAGTTTGGATTTCAGTTGCATTAATTGATCGGGGAAAGTTCATCCTGCTTCAAGCTGATTCTCCCGCTCTTCGTGATGTGTTTGAAAATCTCGTTGAATTCTTTCGTAAAAGTTTCGTTTCAACAGCCCTGTAATTTCGTCTTCGAAAGTTATCAAATTGCTCGTCTTATAGTCACGAACGCATAACGAGTCTCGCGCTCGAATGACGTGTGCCACGCACGTCAAGAATTTTTTTGTTTCAAAATTGTAATATCTTCTCAGTGTTTGGTAAAGCAAAATAAGCAAAGCAAATAATAAATTTGTTACTTCTTAATAATTTCTATCCAGTGTATATTGTGTGGGTGTTGTATATCGTACCGACGAGTCCAAAAGGAAAGGTTTGGTCACTCGTTACGGTCCGCAGCCGGTTGCCAGCGCAAGTGTTTAAACGTTTGCCTCTCGATCTGTAACTTGCATTTTTCTACAGAACGGACGGTTGATTTCGAAATGTGCTAGGAACCGAATTAAATCAAAAAAATTTTCACTGCCTCGGCCAAGACTTTCAAGTAGCGTCTATCAGTCTGAGAAAAATCTGTGAAATTTACATTTGAGAAAAATGGTTACGAAATACTTTCGTTCGTCGAGAGAATTGCATTGCCCTCGCAATTTGCGTTTGCAATTCGATACTACTGTAAAGTCGCGCGATCGAGAACGCTCAAGGCGATTCTCTCAAACACAAAACATCTTGAAACATTTTGTTACGCGTGAAAGAAAAAGGTGTCGCGTGGATTTTCATAAAGTGTAAAAGCGTCGATTAATCGCAGTCGCGTCGATTGCATATCGGTCACGAGCATCGTGTGATTCTCTTGATCCTTGACACGAACCCGTGAACCTTCGTCGTTTCGTACGCGAGAAAAGGGAAAAAAA